TACTTAAATTAGTTTACTAATTAAATTATTTCTTAAAAGTATAAAATAAAACAGCTGAATATAGTCAAATGCCAAGGTGCTGCTGGGCTCAGATGCAGTAAGCTTTACTCCCCATTTAAGTGACTTCCCATTTTCCAGTGAACTGGGAGACACCTTGTACAGCTCAGGAGCCAGGATGTATATTGGGACTTGGTCTCCCCTTCCCAAGTGATGCACGTTGGAGTATCTCAACCAGACCAAGGATTTGGCCCAGTAAGGTGGATATTTATGGCGGTTAGAGATGAATTATGTGTTTGCCAAAGGTGAACCATAAATCCCAGTCCCATGCTGGGATTTGAGCACCTCTTGATGCAGAGCGAGATGTCTGGTCAAAACCAAACCCAGCAGCAGCAAGTTTGGAGAGTCTGGAGAAGGGAGAGATGATGGTGACAGACCTGTGACAGCGTGCCTGTCCCCAAAGGGTGGTGTGGCTGGTGGAGCTGTAATTCATCAGTCAGTCTCAGTTATGTTCTGGCCTGTTTTGGGGTGAGGGAGGAGCAGTAATGCTCCAATAGTTTCCTTCCCCACCTTGTGCTGCCATCCTGCAGCTGGAGCACGGCAGCTGCTGTGGTTTGTACTCCTGCTGACCATGGTGAGACTCAGAGCAATGTGACACGCTGTGTTTTTGGCACGGGATACACCACCAGGAGATGTTCTGGTGGCACAGGAGCTGCTGAGCCCGGGTGGTGCTCTGGTCCTCTCCTTTCCCTGTGCTGCACAGGACAGAAAAGATCCTTGCACAGGGACCAAGTTAAAAACCTGTCAGTGTTAGGCTGGCAGGGCCCCTCTCCTCCCTGAACACCAGTTCTGTGCCTTTCCCTCCACTGTCAGGGCCCAGGGCCCATCCTGCTGGTTAATGCCCTTAGTTGGAATGATGTGATTCAGATCTGTTTCTGCTTTACTAATATCACACCTTGTTAATTTTAATAGAGGCCCTTGAACCTATTAATGAAGATATGTTGCTGGAAGTTTTAGCTCTCACGGATTGGTGAACATTTTAATTAATTAATTTACTTAATATTAGGCAGAACTACCCTTCAGATCCCTGTCATTCCCAGAGATTCAGCCAGAAGCCTGCAAAAGTGGCTGGGAAGGTGGCATTGGAGGCACCTTCTCTGTGTCAAGTGCTGCCAGGTTTGGGGGTGGGAGTGGGAGGAGAGGAACCCATTGGTAGCCTCAAGAACTGGAGTCTGTAAGTTGTTGAAAAGATGAAAAGCGTCCAAAGGATGAAGTCACATGGCACAAAAGCATCAAGAAAAGTAAAAATAAAGCTCCTGGCATTGGGAATCTGGCTAAACCCAAAGGGTGCCCCATGGCAGAAAAGATCAGGCAGATGGAAACAAGGTGGGATAGGAGGCAGAGAACAAGTCAGTCCAAAGAGATGGAATGAGGGCAGAGGAATGTTGTGGGACTAGACTGTGGATCTTGGATAGCCTAACAGCTTCCTGAGAAGGGGCACAGCCCTGCAAGAGGGTTCATCTCCCAGGCATTACTGCCCAGGCTGCTGTGGTTCCGGTGGGTGGGTGGGGAGTTGACCGTGGTGATCTTGAGGCACACGTGGCCCATGTTTTAGAATTGCTTTGGAGAGGCCAAGGCAAGCACCCAGAGGAGAAGCAGGGGGTGTGCAGCCCTCTCCCCTGCAGGTTTGGCTGACTCTGGGCTCTCTTGGCAGGTGTGGGTGTTCTCAGCGGGCTCCTCTATGCCACCGGCGGCCACGACGGCCCCCTGGTCAGGAAGAGTGTGGAAGTCTATGACCCAGGGACAAACACCTGGAAGCAAGTAGCAGACATGAACATGTGCAGAAGAAATGCAGGTAACCACGACACGCCTTTCTGCGGCGTTTGGTTCAGTCGTCTGTGAGGTTTTTGATGCAGTTAATGTGCTGGTGGTGTGAGTGGCTGGTGTTGGGAGTGACAAAAGCAGAAGATGAAGCATCTGCTTGGGAATGGATCGGGAATGTGGCAGGAGATGTATTGTGGGGGGTGAGTTAGCCCACGTCTGACCGTCTGTGCTCTGCTTTGAGGTGTGTGTGCGGTGAATGGTCTCCTCTACGTGGTGGGAGGTGACGACGGTTCCTGCAACTTGGCCTCGGTGGAATATTACAACCCCAGCACGGACAAGTGGACGTTGCTGCCAACCAGCATGAGCACAGGGAGGAGTTATGCAGGTAAGCAGCCAGTGGGAGAGCTGGCAACAGCTGGGCTCGTACATAAACTTGAGGGCTGTGTCTCCTGAAGCTTTAATCCTACCTTTTTGTGTGTTTTATGTTGGTTTCAGTAGAAATAGTAGATGCCTCTCTCTGCTGGCCCGTTGCTGGGCTTTGGCTTTGCAGGGTGATCTGAACCACCCGGCAGCCCAGGAGCTGCTCCTGCAGTAACTGTGTCTGTCTGTCTGTCCTCACAACAGGTGTGGCTGTGATTCACAAGCCCTTGTGACACACAATGAAGCCAATGTGAGGAGCAGAAGTGAAGTGGATCCAGCTAGGTGGTGTTGGGAAGATGACTGACCTCTGACTTGACCCATCTCATTGCTGTTAACGTCTTAGCATGACAAGTGATATGTTCCAAGCATCATCCACTCTGTGGTGGATTGCATAGCCAAGTGAAAAGCCCTCTGGGGACATGTTCCATGCTAGACACGAGGTGTTGCTTGTTTTCTGTGGTGCAATCAACTGTTCTTCTCAATGGCGTGTCCTGAGATAAACGCTGTGCTTGGACTGCAGGCACGGAATTACCTGTGTGAAACAAAACTGCTACGTTTGGGCATGTGAGTAAAAATGAACATTCCTGGATTTCTTCACTACTGATGCTCCGTGCACATTGTTGGTTGAACTACTTACTCACTGTGCCTGGAGGGTGGACTTCACTACTGGCAGTGGAAATCTCTGAGTTCCAACTGAGAAAAACAGTCAGCAGAAATGGACTGGAACAGGGTGCTCTGGCTCGAGTGTGACACTGTCTCAGTCATACGTTTGTACATGCCACTGGACTGCTGTATGTACCCCTGAAATGCTTGTCCTACGGTGGAAATAAATACCATGTGATTTTTCTACTTGCCATGGATGCTGTGTGCTGTACCTGACGGGACCTGCTGGGCAGTGCCTTCCCTGGGGCTGAAGTCTCAGCACCTGAGCCACACAAAACTTCCCAGCCCCACAAAACACATGCTGCTCCCACGGGGTTTGTTGCTCCTGTGAAACAAATGTTGCTTGAATAGAAAGTATTCCCAACCCACACATTTCAGCTGTGCTGAAATCCCCAGTTCTGGCTCTGTCCAGCATCTCAATGCCATTTCATAATAGAGCATTTAGATGTTAAAAACTACCTTATGGTGCCATTAATGTAGAGACATTCCATACAGAGAGAACCCTCTGTCACCCAAGCAGGGATTAATGAGCCAAGTAAAATACCTGCAGTGTTTTAATGCTTTCAGAGCATGGAGATTAACTAATCACTGTCACTGTAATTGCTATTTTAATCTTGCCCTTACTGAAGGCATTCCTCTATTAGTATGAAGAACTCATAAAATTATTCAAAACAGACAAATGTAGCTCCAGCTGCAGGAGAGCTGTCTTGCTTACATACCAAATTCTTGAAAGTTTTCTGTTTGAGAAGATGTTTGACTTTAAAACACTTTGTTGTGTCTCCTTGTGAGCTCTGGCATGCTTCTGCATACAGGGGTAGGCTCCCAGAAGCTTCCCAGCTGAAGGGAACTAGTGAAGAAAAATATTTTCTCTAGGCTTTTTCTTGTTATTTGTTGTTTGGGGTTTTTTTGTTGTTGTTTGTTTCTCTCCCGTAGATCAGCTGAGGCTTTTTGTTGTGGGCAGCTGGCCAGTGTTTTTCTGCTGGTTTCTGTCTCCATAGGTCTGTTATAAAAAGGACTCCCTGTGACCTTCAACAGTAGAAAAGAAAAATACTTCAAAGTTCATTTCAGAGGGATCCACGCTACATCTTCTTGTGCAGCTTTTGCAGAGGAGTGGGTTACTTCTGTAAATATGTAGATCTTTGGTCTTTGAGTTGACACAGTCCTGGTAAGATGGGTTCACTGTGGGGGAAACAGCACCTACCTTTGCTGTGTCACCCCCCCACAGAGGGACTGGCCTTCATGGGGATTGTTAGGTAGCTCTCACTCCTCTTTGGATGTTCTTGTTTTCACAAACAAAGCCAAACTTTCCAAAGAAAAGGCAGTATTATTCTTGATGTCTACCCTTCCACTGTATGTCAGCTCAGAAGTCTTGAAAATAATAATTAAAAAAAATAAATGAGTCGTTTCTATAATACCCTTTAAACATTTTGAGTTTTATGATCCGCAGTGAAACGTGCCAAAATAATAGTATGACATGCTGCTCTTCTCTGAGGTTTTGCTTACTGTAAAAGCCATTGAGGCTGGCAGGAATGTATCCTGGCAGGAATGTATCCCTGACTGCAACTGCCTTAGGATCAGAGTCCTGAGATGCATCTTTACGATGACATAAGGAAGGGGATGAGGCCCCAGTTTGGACAGACTCAAATTCACTGGCCTGAAAAGTGGTTCCCTTTGATGCAGCCCATGGGAACAAAGGATAAAATGGGACAGGTTTTGGTCAGAGGGAGCATCTCTTGTTAGGCTGAGTGACTGGACAAGGGTGGACAAGCATTTGGACACACATGACCCTTGTTAGATCTGTACAGACATAAAGCTAAATAAACTACTGTATGAGCTGCTTGCAGAGCCCCACTACAGCTCAGCAGTTGGGAACAGTCCCCAGCCAACCTTCTCATACCTGTGGCTTCACTGCAGCAAGGGCAAATACTGTTCAGGGACTCTGAATTTCTGTGGGCTGGAGATAAAAGCTAGTAGGTACTGCTGGAGAGGAGCAAGGTTTGAAATCTGCTGTGTCAGATGTGGAAAGTGGATATGCCTGAAGCTGGGATAGTTTTATCCCCCGCTATCCATCTATTCATAAGATATTTTCCTTAGGAGGAAAACAGGTTTTGGTGTTTTTCTGCTATTGTAAAATGGCATTTCTGCCCACTGCTGGCCCAGACCTGTGGCTTGCTGGACAGGGCCAAGACTCCCAGCCCTTGCCAGGGACGAGTGATGCTGTTCCCAGCTGCAGCCAGTTCTCCTCGATGGCAAATGACACATTTCTTTCTCTCCTCCTCAAACAGTTGCAGTGTTATGCAAGTCAAGTGACCTCGTTTTCCAGCTATGCAATACCAACAACCCTAACACGTGATGAACCAGCTGTAAACCTCCCCCACTCCACCCCAGAAATGCTTTTGGAATTTGTCTTTGGCCTGTGGTTTCGTGTTTGTATTGTTCATCCTGAGCACCTGAGCCAGATCCTTTACAGATTGCCTTTTTCTAGGACTGAAAACGTAGCATTAGCGCTAACAAATTTTACTGTAAATATTTTTATAAGACAGATTTTAAATAATTTTTTTTGGATCGCTTTTTATGGTTGTCAGTGACACTTCTGTTAAATTCTGAGTCTAATTCATGCACTCCAGTGCAGTTTTTGCTGGCTGTGGTGTAGGTGTGACTCTGCACGTTCTCTGCACAAGAAATGCCGTGTTGTAACTGAGATCTGGGATGGCTCTTGTGTTGATTCTAACCTATGAGAAGGACAGCACTGGGCTCCACATTATGAGATAAATTCAAATCCATTACCTCAGTCACCAGGACGCTCTTAGATTATTAATTTACAATGATTTCAATACTCTGATTTAATTTACTTGTGCCATGTGTTTGGTTCCTGGTCAGTTTGGGGGACAAGCTGTCACTCAACCATCCTCTTTCTTGGCTCCTGTGTGAGCTGCTTGAAGATGGAGATGCTCTGCCCAAAACAGCGTGGGCACAACCCCCCAGGCTGCCAAAACCAGCCAAATTATTGCAGGAGGCTTAGTAAAAGCTTTACACACCAAACTCGGGCCGCTTCCTCGCGTCGGTCCTTTGTGAATACGAAGGCTTTCCTCAGCTCCTGTTGTCACCTCTTTTTGGGATCACCCTGTGCTTGACCCCTGTGGGATTTTCTGGCCTTGGGTTTTCCCAAAGGTGGCTTTGCTGTTGCAGAGGATGCACCCTGGGGATGTGCCCCCCAAACCCCAACAGCATCTCATGTAGGTGCACATGCTGCTGGGCTTGCAAAGCAGGATAGATTTGCCTCAAGCAAGCTGTTGTTTGAAAAAGTTTGAATCAAGTCCATCTTTTCCATTTGTGCCTAATAGATAAATTGGGGGTGATTAAAACCAATTTTCAGTTCATCCAGTTTATCCAAACACTTTCTTTGTACAGATGTGTGCAGCATGTAATTACCATAAATACACTTGGCAGCGTTTGCGTGACACCACCACGAGAGCTCAGCACTGTTCTCTGGTTTGCAGTGTTTGGAGACCAAAATCCTTAATCCCCAGCGAGGTGCAATGCCTGTTCACCAAGCTAACATGGTGGTTCAACAGCTAGATCAACCTTTGGGATTGTTACTAGTATATTATCAAAGCAGTTGCCCCCTTGGTTTAACATCATGCCCACAAATCACATTCACATGAGCATAACTCGTTGCTCAAAGCTGCAGTGTTGGGAGTGTGCTAGGTATTACAGTCTGAATATGGGCTAATTCACTTTTTTTTCATCTACTCTTGTTTATGGGTTTATAAATTATTTTCCTCTACAGTGAAAATAAATAAATATTGAGAATTTTAATTTGTGTATTTTATGTATAAGAAGACCCTTAAGAGTAATGAATGATTGTGAAATAATTTACCTGGGTGTGAATTATTTTGATTTTGTAAAACAGACTTTGTTGGTTCAGTAGCTGGCAGTATACCATAATGACTCGGTAGACTGTTTTAGCTTGTTTTTTAAATTAAAGATTTTTTTTGCATGAGTGTGGAGGACCAAGGACTTTGCAAAGTAATTCTCTTGACAGCTGTTTTGTCCAGTGTGACAAATGACTCAAGAAACATTCATATTTATATTATGAAAGAAAATCACACTGTAGTCCCCCATCATTTAATTTGAATAAAACCTGAACTAATGAAACTTTTCAGGGTCTGTTTTGATTTCACTGGCTTCTGACAGCGAGGAACAATCTCATCACTCCAAATGACTTTATTTTCCCCCTCTTTAACTACAGCAGATACAAAGCCTGGGTTTACTTTGTGCCCTTTGGCCTGGGGTAGTGGTACCCACACATGCTGATGCTGAGAGGAGATGCTTCCTGATCCTGTCTCAGGCTCTGCTCTGCTCCTTTTCCAAGGGAAGTTAAAAGCTGCTTTCCTGCTGGGGTGCAGGAGAAGAGCATTTCTTTTGGGGGTGGGAAAGCCTTTGGTTTAGGGCACAGATGGCAGAAGACAGAACCTTTTAGTGAATGCAATTGGGAAGAGAAAAAACAATAAAAAGGAGAGTTTATCCTCATGGGCTCAATATTTCTTAATAACATCATAAAGTAATACATTAAACAAGTTGCCCAACTCATTTTGCCTTATGCTTACAATACATCTCACTGAGCTCTCTGGTTTTCCAGAAACATTCCTTGTGCCTCATCTGTTAATACCAATGTATGACATCAAATTTACCATGTGGGATCCTGAAATTTAATTACCTGACGAGCAGATAATGACATATTGTGGGCTGCTCTATGCAGCTGGAGGACTTTGCAATTATTCCTTATTTTATTTCAAAATGACTTTTCTCCTGCACAGTTGGCTCCTCCTTATTCACGTTTAAACTGATAAATCTATAAATCTGTGAACCTGCAGCTGAAGAAAAGCCTTTGCAATACAGGAAAAAAAAAATCTCACTGCCTTGATTTTCTGCCTGATTTTTTTTCTGCTATTATTGTTTCTTTTTGTAGCCTACATTTTAATCTTCTGGCATGTGTTCCACCCCAGATTTCACCCTTGGCAGGACAGGGACCTTATAGCAGCAGCTGCCACTTTGCCTCATTCACCTCAGAAGGGTAAGTAGTTTTGCAGTGAGGAAAGAAAAGGGGACAGGAGAGAGGAAAGGAGAGGAAATATGAGGAGAACTCACCGAGTGGGGTTACAAGCTCAGAAAAGCAGCTCCCCTCT